CTGAGCTTCAACGGCTGCAAAGTCCGGCAAAGTGGGCAACTGAGGCGCATCCTGCGAGCTGGAGGTCCGAGTAAGACGCTGCTGGGATGTCTCCATACGTGATTGAGCATATGCGCCATCGGTAGAACGTGCGCGATCGACCTGGCCAACAGGTAACCGCTGTCTCACCTGTGAGCCACTGCCTACCTCGTGTTCGCCCGTGTCCTGCTGAAGGAAGCCATATGGCGGAGGAGTAGCTTGCAACTGATGTAATGCATCCGTGTGTCGCTCGACCCACTGCTCGGATTTGTCTCCCTGAACAAACAACTCCTGCAGCTCGGCCTCTAGCTTCGCGATATTGCTGAACCTCGTGCTTTGTATGAGCTCTCTTGAACGCAGCCGCCTGGCATTCCAACTGCTCCTCATAAGGCCTGCAAATATGTATAGCCGCCAGCGAAACTCCGAACCATTCCTGTTTGTCTTTTGCTGAGTCGTCATTCTCCTCTGTCATGCGTAAGATGATTGCCCACGTCCTCAACTCGATCCGCCTCTTTGAAATGTAGGCCGACCTCTCTGCTTTGGTAGCCGACTCGGGCAACTCGCCAGGCCAACGAAAATGCGTTCTGGCATACTCTTGCAGAGCTGGGAGAATACCTGAAGGTTCCCGTTGGTTACGAGAAGCATCTCCATCGTCCCCTTCCTCGTCCTGAAATGAAACCGCTGGCGAATGCTGTCTCCTTGGCGGTCTCCTCTCGGTGGCAGGTGAACGTGCATCTCGACCCTTCGGAGACTTCTTCACCCACGCAGCTGTCTGATAAAAACCGTGTGCCGCGCCTGTACCCCCAGCTGCTGCATTGCTCGTAAATTTCGGGCTAGACTGCACTGGGTGAGGCACTGGCACGTGCATACCAGACCGACAAGAAGTACGCGACAGAAAATTGGATATACTGCATAGCTCGCACACCCAGTTGTCCATTAACTGATCTGCAGAATTCTGGGAAGAATGATGTAGTGAAAAACGTACGCGAGCTGACGCCAAACGCACAAGCAATCGATCGTCAGCACGTCGCTGTCTCTCCCGTCGGTGCCACGACGGCTCTGACGTCGTAGTGTCGCGGTCGGCCCTGGGGGCTGACGCGCTGGGTTCTGGCAATGATATGTAAAAGATTGAAAAGGCTGCAGCCCGCCTCGTCCACCCAGGGGGCAGGACCCAGACGGGAATTGAGGCAGGCTCGTGCCAGAGCCTTAGGAGGCAGTCACAGGAGGAGCAGGAGCAGGGGAAAGAGCTGAACAGTGAGGAGGGCGTGAGGGAGGCAGGCGGCCGGATAAACGCGGCCGCGCCCAGCGGCGCTCTCCGCGGCGCCCGGCGTCAGTTGGGGACGGGGTACGACCTGCACTGCTCGTCCTCGTCGTCATCGTCGTCCTCGCACCTGTCCCCCGCCCCGCCCCCCTGCCCCACCAACCCGCATACCCCGTGTCCTCGTCATCGCCACCACCCCCAATCGTCGTCGCCATCATCCTCGTCATCCTCATCCTCATCCTCATCCTCATCCTCATCCTCATCCTCATCCTCATCCTCATCCATCATCATCATCATCATCATCATCATCATCATCATCATCATCATCATCATCATCATCATCATCATCATCATCATCATCATCATCATCATCATCATCATCATCATCATCATCATCATCATCATCATCATCATCATCATCATCATCATCTTTATCTTCATCATCCTCATCATCATCATCATCATCAGCAGCAGCAGAAGCATCATCATCATCATCAGCAGCATCATCATCATCATCACCATCAGCAGCAGCAGCATCAGCATCATCATCGTCAGCATCCTCATCATCATCAACATCAACATCACTATCACCATCATCATCATCATCAGCATCATCATCATCATCATCATCATCATCATCATCTTCATCTTCAGATTCATCTTCATCATCATCATCATCAACATCACCATCACCATCACCATCACCATCCCCACATCACCATCACCATCATCATCATCAGCATCATCAGCATCATCAGCATCGTCATCATCATCATCTTCATCATCGTGGTCGTCGTCGTCGCCGTCGACTTCATCAGCATCATCAGCAGCAGCAGCATCACCACCACCACCATTACCATCATCATCATCAGAATAACCATCATCACCATTATCAGCATCACCTTCGTCGTCATCATCGTTTTCGTCATCATCATCATCATCACCATCATCTTCATCATCAGAATCTGCAGCATCTTCACCTTCATCAGAATCTCGTAACCACACCCACAACCATCATCATCATCATCGTCATCGCCATCATCATCATCAACATCATCATCATCAGCATTGTCATCATCATCATCATCATCATCATCATGTGCCTCATCATCATCAGCACCATCATCATCATCATCATCAACAACATTGACAACTTCATCATAACCATCGCTATCACCATCATCATCGTCAGCATCATCATCATCATCATCATCAGCAGCATCATCCACCTCCTCATCATCATCATTATCCGCTTCCTCCGCTGCCTCTGCTTCCTTCTCCTCCTTCTTCTTCTCCTCCTCCTCCTCCTCCTCTTCCTCCGAACCACGTTCCTCTCGCACCGCTTCCTTCTACCGACGACGACGACGAAGACGACGACAACGGCGGCGACGACAACGACGACGACGACGACGACGACGGCGGCGGCGGCGGTACCCACCTGCTCCCTCGGCCGGTGCTGCTGTAGGGCAGCTGGCCGTCGGCGTAGCCGAAATAGCCGTGCACCTCGGGCCGCCGTCGGGATGGCACGGGGGAGGGGAAAGGGATTTGTTTTATCGACGCGAGGGGGATGGCGAGTCCGAGCTGGGGGGTACGAAGCACCACCACGCCTCCGAATGAGAACGACCCCTGATTGCACAGATGGGGTCAACGGGGAACGGGCGTTTTCGCCAGGTTTCCTGGTTTCGGGCCCCGGGGCCCTCACGTATCAATTCTGCTCAAAAAAGAAAGCAAAAGGATGGGGGTCTTGGACTCCTGTCGCGGTTGTTTGCAACCCCGTTTCTCGTACGGTACTGGCGGTTTCCAACAGTTTGCGGCCGTGAGGTCCCGCCCCACAGGGTCCGAATCCCAAAGCGCGAAAACAAGTCCTGCTTAAAACTACAACAAAAATCGCATATGCGACCGAACTTCTCTTCAGCTGTCTTTTACGTGAGGATAAGACCCAGAAGCCTCAGATACATCGTCAGGGAGGGCAACAGACAAAACAAGGGGCAAAGAGACAGAAGTGAGGTCAGGGACCAAAAAGGCTACATAGACCGAACAAACTACACATCAACACAGACACCACCGCGGGGGCGAAAGCCGAAGCTAACAAAACAGATACTAAATTCGGGCCAAATGCTGCACAGACCACAGAGACCACAGAGACCGCCGCCAGGACGACAGCCGACGCCGAGAACACAAAGACCACGCTGCAATTTGTTCTAAGATGCGCCTCGCTTGTCGAGGCACACCGTCTTACCAGCGTGGGCTGTAAGCCACATTGAAAACAACATTGAAACCGAGTGACTGGGAACCGTAGTGGGCCGGCTTTGCGCCCGCATTTTTGGACAAGGCCCCGAGGGGCGCCCAGATGCCTTTTGAGACGCCCCCAGGCAGATCCCGATGTTCGGCCACAGGGTGCGGCGGCGGGTCGCCGGCGAGGTCTTCGATGAGCGCTGCCGCTTGTGCCTGAATCGCTCATGGGAAAAAACCTCATAACAACGAGTGGTTTATGTCATGGGGTCGTAGCCTGAGTTCAATTGCTGCGGATGGTGGAACGTGGAAGCGAATGTCGTGCCTGGCCAGATGCACCGGTAGACAAGGCAGCTGGGCCCACTTCAGACGCCGTATTGCCGTTGTGCGTCAGCGTGGGCGGACAGGGGGAACCAGCTGGACTAGAACCCTAGCGATCGCCCAAAGACTCGCACGGGGCGCGTGCAGTGAGCTGTGACTAATCCAACATACCAATGCCGCGTCCGCACAGGTCAGCCCACACACGAGCCCTGACGTGTTTCTACGAGTAGGACGGCTGTTTTGACGAAAGACGGCGAGCGCAGACTCCACCGCCGAGCGCTACCCTCCTTCGAGCGCTACCCTCCTTCTCCCCTCCTCCCTTCTCGCCTCTCCTGGTCAGCATTATCCGCGGTCTTGCATCCTCCGCGGCCTCCGCTCCGTCGAGGCGGCGGCCTGCCTAGAGCAGCGAGTAGTCGGCGCCGCTCAGCACGGCCTTGGCCTTCCCGAGCGCGTCGATCTCTCCGCTGCGCGCCTCCTCCCTTGCGTCGAAATCCGCCGCCGTGTCCCGAGGCACGAAGCAGAGTGTCGTCAAGCCCCTGCGAATCCTCTACGCTTGGCATCGGGGGCTCTCTGAGGGGCCAGCAGCCCCGAGTTCTGGTCGCTCCCAGGCGCTCCTGCGGCCTCCCGCGGACTCTTTCTGAAGCTCATCGCGAAACTTTCCCTGAGGCTAGAGGGCCCTGAGACGGGTCAAGAGGGCCCCAAGAGGCTCCCAAAACGGTCCAAGAGGGCCCCGAGACGGCCTAAGAGCGCTCCAGGCCTAAGATGGCCTCAAGACGCTCCCAGGAGACCCGTAAGATGCCCCAAGAGGGCTAGAAGAGGCCCCCAAGAGGGCCCCAAGGGGCAAAACGATAGATGTTCCATAGGTTTTGTCCGATTTTAGCTGTCTCGCCATGCCAGGCTTCCGACGCTCCAAGACGGCCCAAGATGCTCCCAAGACCGCTCCAAGACGACCCAAGATCTCCCTAAAGAGGCCCCCAAGAAGTCCAAGGAGGCCCGCGAGAGGCCCAAAAGAGACCCCAAGAGGTCCCCGAAGGAGTCCCACAACGGCTGGGGGAACACGTAGTCCAATAGCTTGGCCCCGAACTCTGGCCACGACGTTCGCCCACATAGGCTCTTCCAAAAGGCAGGGGGCGGCGGTGATTCGCCGAAGGCGTCTTCGCTACTGGATGAGCCAATCACATTCGCCATGGAGTTGGGAGAGGTACTTGTCCGTTGTCATAAGCTCCTTGGCCGTGCTGGCGCTGTCGCCCTTGGCCGCCTGCAGGTCGCTCTCCAAGTCTGCCTTCTCGGCGGCCTTGGACGTCAGCGCCTTAGAATCGTTCATCCGCTTGTCCTTCGCGTCCGCGATCGTCTTGTCATAGTCCGCCTGCGAGTCCTTCTCCTCCGTCTCGGCCTCGGTCATCTCCTTGTCGAGATCGCTGATCAGCAAATCCATCATGGCAATGACCCCAGCGCTCTCCTCTGGGAAAACCAAAAGGTACCAACACCGCTACTCCCCGGACCGTTCCCGAGGTGCGTTCTGACCAGGATTTCGAGGCGAATCCAGCGGTGGCAACGAGGGCCACACGGAAAGCCCAAAAATGGACAAACGAGGGAAGGGCAACGGCATGGGTACCTTCCCAGACCCCCGACGTCATGATATTTTCATGACGTCGACCCCCAGGGGTCTCGACCCTTTCCCCAGGACCGGCTTCTCATCCCTGAGTCGTTTCTTGACGGCCCCGAGGCTCGGGGAGGGCCCCCAGAGGCCGAGAATCGTGAAAAACCTCCTGCCTTGATTTTTTCATGACGCGAAGGAGTCTGGCTTTTCCTCCCCTGATCCTCGGACTTCTTCGCGTACGCGCCCCAGGTCTCCGGCGGCGGCGCGGCGGCGCCCGTGCGCCCCGCGCGCTGGGAGATCTGCACGAGCGCCGCCGCGCCGCCCATGTCGCGCTCGATGGCGGCCTGGGCGGAGAGCTCCACCCTGGCCGGCGGGTTGTACAGCTTAGGATCCGCCGCTGGGTTGCGTGCGCGCGTCGGGCCCCTGGCTTTTAGGTTGGGCGTGTCCTCCTACAGGGGGATGTTGGACGAAGCATTAAAAATTGCCCCAAAAAAAAATCTAGAAATCGTCCCCTGACTATTTGTGGACTATTTTTGAATATTCCTCCTGTAGAGGGACGTGCCCGACTTAACCCTGGCTGCTTTAGGCAGTCTTCCTGCCCCAAGGGTACCCTCCTCATCCGTCCTGGCTGGCATTCGGCGGCGAACGAAGGGGGGAGGAAGTGAGGAGAAGGAGGAGGAGGCCTTCTCAGAAGGCTTGGAAGCCCTCAGGCCTCCTGACAGCTTTGCTGTGTCTTCGAGGCCCCGCCGCCTTTCCGAGAAGGCCTTCTCCTTCTCACTCCCCCCCCATCGCTTGCCGCCGAGGCAGGCATCCACGACGTCTCGAGCAGGGCTGGACCCGAACGCTGTTTTTCGCTATGTTTGCGTTGTGTTGCTCGTTTTGCTCTCCTTGTTTTCCCGTGCCCCCCTGCCAAAACGAAAAAACCAAACACGGCCGAAGTCCGCAAAACAGCGTTTGTGTCCCCCTACAAAATGATGTTCGACTATTTTTTTAGAACAAAAAAAAAAGTCTGGGGACTATTTTTGGTGTATTTTTTGGCCATTTGGGGTATTTTGGCCTTTTGGGGGGGGGTCATTTTTCGTCGAAAGTCCCCCTGTAGGGGGACAGGCCCGATAAAGTTTAGGCCCAGCCCTGGCCCCCGAGCCCGGCATGCGCCCCCCTTGTGCTTCCGATCCGCGCGCCTTGCTGCCGCCGCCCTCGCCGCGGCACGCGGGGCCAGAAGCCCTCTTAGAGGGCCACATGCGAATCCTACCTCTACCCCCCACGATTTCTGAGGGGGAGGATGGGGTTCACCTCGTTCGGGAGGTTCCGAGCGAAGTGAACCCCACCCTCCCCCTCAGAAATCGTGGGGGGTAGCCCCGTGGAGCCTCGCCCCCGCGCGAGGAGCAAAACCCGCCACAAGCACAGACTTTCGGCGCTCCGCGCGGAGTTCTTGGATCTGCGGGGGACCCCCCTCCCTGGCGCCCCAGGGGCGCACCAGGGGAGGCGCCGGAGGCGCCGCCGCCGGGGGGGCCCAGCGCAGATCCAGGAGATCCGCGCGGAGCGCCAAAAGTTTGTGTTGTTTGTGGCGCACTCTCTCTCTCTTTCTTTTTGTTTCGACTTCGACCCCAAACCCCTTCCCCTGGAGCCCCCTCCTCCCCACGGCGGCGGGGGGCGGATGCGCGGCAGCGCGCGGGGCTTGTAGAACTGGTTGAGTTTGTTCTTGGCGAATAGGAGCAGCTCTTTCGCGGCGCCGTCAGCAGCCATCAACGCCTTGTACTCCTCGTGCTCGCCCTTGCGCAGCACCGTCGCCTCAGCGACGCTCTTGTCGAGGGCCGCGATGCCGCTCTCCAGCGCCGAGATGTCCTCCGCGGCGCTGCTGATGCTCTCCTCCGTGCTCGCGATGGCGGTCGCGAGGTCCGACGCTTTGCGGGTCAGAGACTTCTTCTTGTCCTCCGTGGAATCAAACTGCGAGCCACAGTACTCCTTCTTCTCGGCGTCGTCGGCCTGTTCTTTCTTGAGCAGCACGACCATGTCATCGATCATTTTGATCACGGTCTCGAACCCGACCTTCTTGCCCCGGAGCGCCAGCACCAGGAAACCGAGGCGGGCGTGGTCTGCCTCGCCCTTCACCTGCGCCTGCTGGACCAGGGCCGCGGCGCGCGCGCGCTGGCTGGCGGTCGTGACTGCGACCTGCATCAGGCTCGCACTGGGCGCTGGGAGAGTTTTCTCCGCTGGGCCGCCCTGGTGGGAGCTACCAGGCTGCGCGGACCGAACCCACCTTTTTCCTCCTCGTCCTCATCCTCCTCCTCCTCCTCCTCCTCCTCCTCCTCCTCCTCCTCCTCCTCCTCCTCCTCCTCCTCCTCCTCCTCCTCCTCCTCCTCCTCCTGGGCCGACATCGGTTCGTCGTGAGGCCACTTGGTGCCCTCTAGTGAACTCCTCACGGTCTCCTGGGACCACGTTACACCTCTGGGGGCTCTCCTGTGACGTCTCATGGGCCGATTTGGGAGCCCCTTGGGGTTCTCTTGGGCCCTACCAGAGATCCCCTGGCGACTCCGCCAAGCCTCTGCATGTGGAGACCCCCGAAAATTGTGAATCACTCGGTGTCCTCCGTCGGAGGTCCTCCTCAACTCAAAGACTCTCTCGAGGCCCTCCTGACATGTTATGGGCCCTCTAGGACGAGCTTGTGAGATGGAGGGCGCAGTGAGGCTGTCTTCAATTCTTGGAGAAACCCGAGGGGGGGCGGGGGAGGGCGGGGCATAGGAATGTATAGTTGGAACCCTGAGGGTGTGCTGGAGATCGCGCCGCGGAGCCAGGCTGCGCAGGTGTTAGATACGGTGTTCGAAGCCCTGCAGGCTCCCCAGCCATTTGCAGATTCCCCAGACTGGCAACAGAAAAGCACCAAACATATGCAACACACATATGCTGCGCCCAAACTGTGGAAAGCAACTAAGCATAATCCTATGCCAGTGAGAATCGCACCCTGGGGATAAGAAAGTTCGGTGTCCTGGGAGGGTTATAATTTTTACGAGGACAAGAAAACAGGAGGACGACGACGAGGAGAGGGAGGAGGTCACGAGAAATCAAAGTTTCGAACCTATCGAGTTCGATATGTAATCTAAAACATCACTGGTGGACTTCTACTCGCCATGTAGGAGTACCCATGGTTGCTCTTTGGGGGGTGGTAAACAATGACGGCGGACAAAAATCAGCTGTGGCGCGGAGGGAGGAAGGAGGGGAGGGGGAGTACAAGGAGTAGGAGACAGAGAAGAGAAATCATAGAAGTAAGAGAAGAAGTAAAAAAGAGAAGGGAGAGAAGAAGGTGAGGAGAAAGATAAGCAGGAGGAGGACGACGAGGAGAGGGAGGAGGAGGAGGAGGAGGAGGAGATTTCAAGAGAAGTCAAAGCTTCGGGCCTATCAAATTCTATTGGTACAACGAAAGAGATGGTTGGTGTTCTACTCGTGGTGAATGAGGGTGATAATGAATGACGGCGGTAATCACATTCAGCTAGGGCGCGGAGGGAGGAAGAAGGGGAGGGAGAGGAGAAACCAAACCTTTTGCTTGAGACATCCTCGAAACGCTGCTGGTCGCGAACTCAGCGTTTCACTTGACACATCCTCGAACACTTGCGTTTCGCTTGACACATCTTCACGAAATTGATAATGAGGATTACTCATGGTGCGATGCATGATATGAAGATCAGCGCAACGATGCGAATTTTGGGGGTGATGGTAAAGATCGCCCGAAGTTCGCCCCCAGCGCCTCTTGTGGCAGTTTGCCCTGCATACACCCCGTGGATAATCAGATAGAGGGGGTGGCAGGGGAGTCATCTTTATTATCCACGGCATGCGGTTTTGCTGCGTTGCGCCCTCAGGGCTCCAACGCAAACATATGTTCTAACAGGTTAGCCAGCATGGATCCCAAATAGTGGTCCATTCCACTGTGGTGGTGGAAGCTGTGTCGCGTAACTATGTTTAGCCAGCCCATGGATTGTCAACCCCACTGCCCTCCCACAAACAGCTAGTTTTGCATGACCCATGCGGTCGCGATTGTGGTGCCTGCGCGGCACTGGTTAGCGCATCCCTGCGGCTGCGCAACTGTGCGCAAGCTCGCGCGCAGAGCGGCCAGCTCACTTGGCACAGCCAATGCGGCCGCGATGGCGCTTAACGATGGGAACTCCCCAGCACGTCTCAACGGCCGCGGTGGCACGCAGACACTTCAGTGCGGGTGGGTGACTGGGGCGGGCGCGGTATCATGACAACGCCGACAACGGCGGCAACGATGAAGATAGTAGCGATGGTGACGACGGTGACGACGGTGGCGACGGCAAGTCTAATGACGGTGCCCATGCTGGTGACGTCGATGGCGATGATGATGTCCATGCGCTGGTAATGAGGGTGATTAGCTGATGAAGGCGACAATGGCGGCAACTGGCGATGACGAGAACGGCAGTGGTGCGGTGGCACTGATGAGGGTCATGGTGAGGAAGTGCGCGCGCGGAAATGCAAGAAACCTGCGGGCTCTGGACGAGATTGCTAAAACCAGATGTTTCCCCGATGCGTTGAGCAAATGCGGGCAGGCAGGAAATCTGCCAAATGTGTGATGAAAAGCCTAAAAGTGTTTGATGCTTGTGTGTTGAAGTGCTTGCAGAACGAATGTGTCTGAGATGCAGAACGAGTGTGTCTGACATGTACTCGACATGTACAGGCGCGTGTGGACGTTGTTCAATTTCTTGTAAACAAAAAACTGTTGCATGGTTAATGTGTTCGAAAAACGGGTGCGCGAGCATCATATCACCTGACAAGGATTGGAGGGAGATCCGTACCCGGTCGGCTGGGAGGTATAACTTCAGATGGGAAATGAGCGATGAGGCAAACTCACATGAACAATGCAATGTCCCAGCGGTGCTCGACAAGTATGGGCTCGAGAGGGGGGTGGGCCCTTTCTTTGACAGGCGACAATGTGTGGTGTGAGCTGGAGATGAAGCTATGCGGTATAAGCGAGCGGCATCGTGGCGGCACGGGCGGCAACGTGGCGCAATCTCGGCCGACGCACCCAGCGCACGGGGCGCCCATGAACGCCCACGAGGCGGCACGGGCGGCAACGTGGCGCAAACTCGGCCGACCCGCCCAGCGCACGGGGCACCCAAGAGCACACACGAGGCGTCACGGGCGGCAACGTGGCGCAAACTCGGCCGACCCGCCCAGCGCACGGGGCACCCAAGAGCACACACGAGGCGGCACGGGCGGGAACGCGGCGCAACCTCGGTCGACCTAGCACACAGGGCGCCCACGAGCGCCCACGAGGCGGCACGGGCGGCAACGTGGCGCAATCTCGGCCGACCCACCCGGGGGCCTACCAGCGCCCACGAGGCGGCACGGGGCGGCGTGCACGCCATGTTTGCGGAATGTCAGCCAGGGTAAGCCCCAAACAGTGGGTGATTACACTGTGGACGAGAAAGCTGTAGGGTGTAAACAGGTGTGGTGCAGGCTATGGCATGTAAGCTATGCGACGTGAGCTGTGCACGTGAACGCAATGCGGCGTAAGTAATGTGGTGTAAGCTGCGCTATATATCCGCCGATCCGGCGTGTGAGTTGAAGGGGGGGGTGGGCCGGGGTGGCTCTGCCGGGGTAGGGGGGGGGGTCTTGCACAGATTGGGTTCGGTTGGTCGGGGTTCGGTTGGCCACAACGGACCCAAACGTTGCCAAGAAGCCGCCAAGACGCGCCAAGACGTTTCTGGATCGCCCAAAAATCGATCCAAGACGCCGAACATGAACCCAAGACAGCCCAAGAGGCCGCCCAGACGCCCCCAGAGGCCCCTAAGAGGTCTCCCAAAAGGGCCCCGACCGGCCACAATCATTGATTTCCCTTAGGAAACCCCACATTTTTAGCATGTTCGCCCCTTGGGCCTTCACAGTGTCCAAAACGGCTCAAGGGGCCCTCAAAAAGGCTCCAAGACGGCCTCTGAAGGGCTTGCGCAGGCCCAGGAGGCCCCCAAGATGGCGCAAGAGGGCTCCAGGACGGGCCCAAGAGGCGCCCAAAAGGGCTCCAAGACGGCCCAAGAAGGGCCCAAGACGGCCCAGGAGGCCCCCAGGAGGCCCCAAGACGCCCCCAAGAGGCCCCAACTGGCCACCAAGGAAACCCTACATTTTTAGCATGTTCGCCTCTTGGGCCTTCACAGTGTCCAAAACGGCTCAAGGGGCCCTCAAAAAGTCTCCAAGACGGCCTCAGAAGGGCTTACGCAGGCTCAGGAGGCCCCCAAGACGGCGCAAGAGGGCTCCAGGACGGGCCCAAGAGGCGCCCAAAAGGGCTCCAAGACGGCCCAAGAAGGGCCCAAGACGGCCCAGGAGGCCCCCAGGAGGCCCCAAGACGCCCCCAAGAGGCCCCAACTGGCCACCAAGGAAACCCTACATTTTTAGCATGACCGCCTCTTGGGCCTTCACAGTGTCCAAAACGGCTCAAGGGGCCCTCAAAAAGGCTCCAAGGCGGCCTCAGAAGGGCTTGCGCAGGCCCAGGAGGCCCCAAGACGGCGCAAGAGGGCTCCACGACGGGCCCAAGAGGCGCCCAAAAAGGGCTCCAAGACGGCCCAAGAAGGGCCCAAGACGGCCCAGGAGGCCCCCAGGAGGCCCCAAGACGCCCCCAAGAGGCCCCACAAGGTCCTCCAAGAGCGCCTCCAAAAGATGTCGTACTACAGCTACTTCAACATCTCCGGATTTTGAATGTGTCTCAGGCAAGAGCGTCATTTTCCAAGATCCGAAAGTTCCGCAAGCCATTTCAACATCTCTATCCTATAGGGATGTCTCGAGCGAGAGCTGTCTTCTAACATGACAAGTATTCCGTCCCCAACAGCGTAGAGGCGCCAACGAGGCTCCAATAAGCCTCCCAGAAGCTCCCAAGAGGCTCCAAAAGGCTTCCAAGAGGCCCACAAGAGAACACAAGGTCATCGTCGTCATCGTCATCATCATCACCATCATCATCATCATCATCATCATCAACAACATCATCATCATCAGCATCAGCATCATCATCATCATCATCATCATCATCATCATCATCATCACCATCAGCATCATCAGCATCGTCATCATCATCATCCGGAGCGCCCCGGATCGGCGGCACTGGCCGGAGGCCATTTCAATATATGTATATATGTATATATATATTCATGTATGTAGTTAAAGCTGGAGGTGAAAGCTGTGCGGTGAAAGCCATCATGTGCAAGCTATGTTGTGCCAAATATGCGGTGGAATATGCGTGGTGTAAGCTATGTGGTGCAAGCTGTGTGGTGCAAGCTGTGCGGTGTAAGCACAGCGCACAAGGCGCCCGCGAACGCCCACGAGGCGGCAAGGGCGGCAACGCGGCGCCACCTCGGCCCCGGTCGACCCGCCCCACGGCCCGGGCGCCCACGAGCGCCCACGAGGCGGCACGGGCGGCAACGCGGCGCAGCTCAACCTCGGCCGACCCATCCAGCACACGGGGCGCCCATGAACGCCCACGAGGCGGCACGGGCGGCAACGTGGCGCAAACTCGGCCGACCCACCTGGGTGCTTACCAGCGCCCGCGAGGCGGGGCGGGCGGCCGCGTGGCGACGCCTCGGCGCCCTCGCCCAGGGCACGGGGCGCCTGCGAGCGCCCACGGGGCGAAGCAGGACCCCGTGAGCGCAGACACTGCTTGAAGAGAGTGCACGTGTTGCGCCCCGGGCGCACCATGAGCGCGCCTGGACACTCCCTGGAGTCCTCGCAGAGCCGAAGACGGCCCAGGATGCCCCCGCATGGCCCCGAGGTGGACCCGAAGAGCTGGCCCGAGGAGGACCAAAGGTGGCTCAACAAGTCCCCAGGAGAGCCAGGAGTCGCCCAGGGTTGCCACAGAACGGCTCGAACTTGTCAACAAGATCGCGTAGATGATCCCAAGAAGCCCTACAAAGGTTACCCCTCCGACTGTCCCAACACGACGAATCCACCGGGGGCAGCGGCACTGGGGGGGCCCTCTGGATTGAAGAGCTCAAGCGCATCGTCGTCATTCAGAATCTTGATGGTCTCGGTGAGGGCGGCGAGCTCATCGTGACGCGTCTTCACACGTTCCTCGTACTCCTTGTCCTTCGTAGAGCAGCCCGATTCCAACTCTTGGAGGAGTTTCTGATCCTCGAGCAGCGCAGTTTCCGAATCGCTCAAGTCATTCCTCATCTGGACGATGGTCACGCCCAGCGCTCCGCTCTTCGAGGTCTTGGCCTCAATGGACAGTGTAAGTGCGTCGATCTCTTTGGCCTTGGCAGCGACCACGGCCTCGAACTCCTTGATTGCGTTGGCCTCCGTGTCGGAGGCGTCTGCAAGGCTCTTGGAGAAGCTATCGCCCATTTCCTTCAGAATCCCAGTCACCTCCCCGCTCTGGGGCACGTACGAGGCGCTGCCCTTCCCAGACAGGAACGAGAGGAGAGTCTCGCGGTCGTCGTCCTGGATGGCGTCTCCCTTGGTCAGCACGATCTTGCGCAACAGGCTCGCCGAGGTGGCCTGCAGGAACCCACCCGCCATCCCCTTGGTCAGCGCGGCGACTGCCTGCTTGATGGCAGAGATGTAGCTCTCGAGCTCTGCCTTCGTAGCCGCGAACCCCGCAGCCTCAGACCCCCGGATCGAGGTCGCCTTGGCCACGGCCGCCTTGGCTTCTGCGCGCTCCGCCTGCGCGTCCTTCAGCCCCTGCTTCACCTGGACGAGCTGCTCCTCCGCTGCCTTCACGTCGGCGCCGAGCTGGGTCCCCTTCGTGCCCGCGGCGGAGATGCTCGCAGAGAGGTCTGCCGCCCCCGTCTGGCAGTAGCACGAGAACTTCTTGTACATCTCCTCCTCCTCTGAGGGGCAACGATGGGGAGGGAAACATCGACCTGGGATCGGCGATACCACGCCGATAGATCGGCGACAGGCCCCCGATAGCGAATCCCCACGTCCCTGGGCAGGTTGGGGCCGACGGGCCCCCATCGGCGATCAGTGGGCGATTGGGGGCCGATGCGTCCGCCCCTATGCCCACTCCCCCCTACCGTTGCCCCTGGTCCTTCTCGCCCTCCGCCTCGACCTTCTTCTGCATCGACTGCAGCATCGAGACCACCCTGCGCACCGGATTCGCGGCCGCCCCCGCGTGCGACCGCAGGGAGGCGGCCTGCGCGGTGGCCGGGCCTGCGGCCAGCAGCAGGGCCGCGAGCTTGAGCGCGGCCATCCCGGCGGCGGCGCGAGCAGACTGCGTTGGCGACTGGTAGGGCGGACGTGACCTGCAGAGTCACAGCGGCTGCGTGCGAAACCGGAGGCAGGAGGAGTGTGCACCTGCACCCACTCTGGCCAGGCCCATCCTGAGCCCAGGATCGGTGCATACGCCCTGCCTGCCTTGGCCAGGAAAGCATTACGCATCGATCCTGGGCCCAGGATGAGCCTGGCCAGGATCGGTGCATGTGCACACCTCTCTTCGCCCAAGAGATCCGCCGTTCTTTCTCCACCTCGAGGACGGGAGAGGCCCCGACGGGGCCGCATCGTCGCACAGAGGCCTCGGGCTTCCGGGGGGAAGGCGCGGCCGAGCAGGGCGAGGAGAAACTGGGCGCGGTCGCGCACAATGTCTGACATCCTGGCCCTCCCATCTATCCCTTCCAATTGCGCTGGATTGTTTGTTATCCGCCAGCCAGGGTGTCCTCGATGACCTTGATCCCATAAATGACCCTACAGTGCGATGCGCTATCAAAAAGGGAGGCGTGTACAGTGGACGAGGAAAAAGGATGATACTAATGCTGAGGATAATAAGGATGATGATGATGATGATAATGATGATGATGATAATGATGATAATGATGATGATGATGATGATGATGATGATGATGATGATGATGTTGATGATGGTGATGATGATAATAACGATAATGATGATGCTGATGATGATGCTGATGCTGATGCTGATGCTGATGCTGATGCTGATGATGATGAGGAGGAGGAGGAGGATGATGACGATGCTGATGATGATGTTGATGATGATGCGTCTGATGAGGATGATGATTATGATGCTCCTCCGCCCCCCAGGCGTCTTGTCGCCAGGGCTGGCTCCGACCTCGAAGCTCTGGTCAGAAAGCCCCCCTGGAGTGGTCCAGAGGCCGATGTGTGAAGGAGGAGGAGGAGGAAGGAGGAGGAAGGAGGAAGGAGGAGGAGGAGGAGGAGGGGCAGGAGGAGGAGGAGGAGGAGGCGAAGGAAGGAAGAGGAGGAGGGGGGGGCACACGCTGAAATTGATGTAAGGATCGGTGGATCTGACACGTGGGCGCCAGATCCACGGATCGGGGGGGGGGCCCCCCGAGAAGCCAGTGCCGCCCGATCCGAGGACGGCGCGCGCCGGTGTGGCACGGAAGCGGGACCCCGTCGCCGATCCACGCGCCCTCGTCCACGGCTGCGCTTCCCCGAAGGACGAAGGAACAACACACACCCATACCCATTGGGGGGTCGTTGGGAGGAGGACTAGCTATGGGCATGGGTGCGGGTCGTCGGGCCCTGGGGAGCGCTCCCATTCGAGCGGGGACCCCCATCCGACAACACGCACACATAGCCCTCTCCAACCCCCCTGTGGGTATGGGTGTGTGTTGTTGGTTCGTCACCGAAGGAGTGAGGAGGGGAGGGGAGCAGCAGCAGCAGGATCCCCTCCACCCCCCCCCCACGCTCCCTGGCGGCGAGCCTGGGGGGAAAGTGAGAAGGGGCGGGCCTTCTCGGAGAGCTCGAAAGCCCCCGAAGACGTTCCGAGAAGTGTTCTAAACCTTCCCCGAAAACACAGAAAGCAACTCAGAAGGCCGGAGGCCTTCTATACAGAGCAGAAAATCCACCCTCATAATAATCACCCCGGCACGCGAAGCCGTTTAGTAAACGTACCCAAAGAAGGAATCGAACAGGGCAGGGTTGTTTAGTAAACGCCCAGGGCAGTTTAGCAAACGCCAATATCGGGTCCGGGTGGTTTTTCCTCCCTTGATTCTGAAAAGCCCCGCCGCCTTCTGAGAAGGCCTCTTCCTTCTCATTTCCCCCCCTCGCTCGCCGCCGAGTTCCCGCCCCTCCCTCGCCACCCCCACTTCCCTCAAGCCCCCGGGGGGCGGACCGTCCGCGTCCGCAGGTCGGGCGTGCTGCCAGTCCGCCCGATCATCTGCGGCGAACTTGCCCCTCGCAGGGGGGGATTGGCGGCGGAGGAGGAGGAGAAGGGGGAGGGAAGTATCGAGAAGATCTGGAGCGGGCGCGGAAGGACGCGCTGGCGCTCAAGAGCGGCAACACACATCCTTGCCCAAGGAGGGAAGGCCGATGCTGGCGCGCAGCCTCGGCCCGGGCCTCGAGGGGCACGCTTCGGGCCCCAGCCAACCACGAGCGGCAAAGACATCCGGACCCACGCTCTCGCTGTCCGGAGTCTGGGCCCCCCAGTCCCGTGGATGCGCGGTCGCATGGGGCCGCGCGGGGCGTCCGCGGGGTCGCGGCCGTGGCGGGGCCAGGCGCCCGCGAGGGCCGCGGGGTCCCGTCCGCGGGGTCGCGGCCGTGGCGAGGCCAGGAAACCGCGAGGGCCAGTGGGTGCGGAGGTGCCTTCCGCCCACGAAGGTGCTGTGCTTGCGCACCCGTTGGGGGCGGGCGTCCGACAGGAGCGCGTGCGCGCAGAGGTGCTGCGGCGTGCGCCGATATCCGGGCGGCATGGCCAAGCTGCGCGCGCCGCGGTGACTGTGCCGGGTGCGTCGCCGCGGTGGCTGTGCTCGGGCTCAGCCGCGAGGGGGGGGGCAGAGGATCGAGGAGGAGGGGGATCAAGGAGGATCAAGGAGGGGGAGGAGGAGGAGGAGGAGGAGGAGGAGGAGGAGGAGGAGGAGGAGGAAGAGACGGAGGAGGAAGAGACGGAGGAGGAGGAGGAGGAGGAGGAGGAGGAGGAGGAGGAGGAGGAGGAGAGGAGGAGGAGGTGCGCGCGTCGCCCACACGCGAGCGACGCCCACATCGTGCAGGTACACGCGAGCGACGCCCGGCCAGACTGGGGGCCGAACGGTCGAGGGTCGGAGCGTCGGGCCCCCGGGGCCCTCGCGGGTCGATGCCGCTGGAGAGAGGCGCCGCAGCTCCGGATCGGAGCGATGCAGCTCGAGAGGGCCTGCACGGTCTCCCCCGGGACAGCAGGCGAGCCGAAGAGGAGGAGGAGGAGGAGGGGGAGGAGGAGGAGGAGGAGGAGGAGGAGGAGGAGGAGGAGGAGGGAGGAGGAGGAGGAGGAGGAGGAAGACGAGGAGGAGGGGGAGGGAGGGGGAGGAGGAGGCGGAGGGGAGGGAGAGGAGGAGGAGGAGAAGGAGAAGGAGAAGGAGAAGGAGAAGGAGGAGGAGGAGGAGGAGGAGGAGGGAGGATGAGGAGGAGGACCAGTGTAAACCCAAGAGTCATCAACGATGTTGGAATTAACCCTCCCTCCAAGCTCCCTCTTCACAGGCCCCTACCAGGGTTCATTCCACAGAAGGAACTGCTTCGTTGGAAAGCAGCCGTTTGAAGACCCTGACGCATGCCAAAACATCGTTCTCTGGATTCCAACGCCACGGGTCAATCTGACTGTTGAGTGTGCGCGGCGCTGAAGCGACGAGCCACATGTTGAAAGGAACCGCCCGCAATCCGTGAAACTCTTGCGAATTATTAAAACCAGTGCGCGCGGCGCTAAGGCGACGGCCACATTTTGAAAAGGAACCGCCCTCAATCCGTGAAACTTGCAAGTGTTTAAAGCGAATGTGCGCGGCGCGAAGGCGAGAGTCACACTTGGAAAAGGAACCGCCATCAGTCTGCGAAACTATTGCAATTTGTCTCAAACAAATGCGCGCGGCGCTAAAGCGAGAGCCACATTTTGAAAAGGAACCGCCCTCAATCACTGAAACTGGTGTCAACGTTTCAGCTGCAGGGTCGTCAATGGTGAAGAAGTCTCGGGCGAAACGCCCACACCGCCCTAAAAACTGGCCTCGAGGTGCGACACGGAGAAGTTATCTATAAGGAAAAGGAATGGAGGAGGACAGGACAGGACAGGGCAGGACTCAGCATAAGGGGGTTCAACGTCAGAACACCTATGCTGGTGCCTTGCGCGCTTCTGGCAAAATCCCCTGCGAGTGGTTGTGCCACGGCCCTGACTTCTCACCGGGGCCGGCAGGGGGCATACCCCGTTGCCCAAGGAGTGAGCCCCGATGGGGCCCCGTAAGAGAGGCTCGACACCTTACGATGTTGTGTCCCTGCGGGGGTCCGTGCCGGGGGGAGCAGAGGATCCGCGCGGACCGATCCAGCTTCAGATCCGGCTCGATCCAGCTCCATCATAGCCCCGGGCGAGACGTCGCACGCGGCGGCGCCGCCGAGCGGGGGGGATGCGAGCGGGGGGCAGGCCTTTTCTCAGAGGGGGGCGGGGCTTCCCAGAGGCCCTCTGTGAAGGGGCCCAAGGACACACAAATCCGCCGACCCTGTCGGCGTGTGGAAGACGCGTCGTCCTCGGGGCGCCACCCTCAGCGAAAATGAGCTACATCGTAAATAAGCTACCGCGCCACCCTCGACGAGAATGAGCTCCATCCTCAACGAAAATGAGCTCCATCGTAATTGAATCGAAGGCAAGCCTCTTCCCTTCGATCCCTTCCCCGCCGAAGGGGGGGGGCCCGGGGGGGATCCCAGGGGGGGTCGCCACCCAGATACGCACCCTCCCCCCGGCCTACTTTTCTGATTGTTTTGCCCATCCCGAACATGTGGGGGAGTGTCCTCCTCCTCCCTCTTCGCCTCCCCCTCCTCCCTCCTACCTCCCTCCTCCTCGGGAGGGGCCTTCCCTTTTATCTGTTCCTCGCCAGGGAGGGGGGGGGCGCCACCCTAAACGAAAATGGAATCCCGGGACCTACAAAAGCTTGACACGGGCCACGAGTGCCCCAAGAAGCCTCCAAGACGCTCCCAGAGGGTGCCGAATCGCCGAACCATCGGTCCTCCTCCTTGTGCTTGAATACCTCCGGCTGCCACCTTCACCGTGGGTGTCGTCTTCCAGGGTCGGCGGCTCCTGCCGTAAGGCCTTCGCAAAAAATACACACAAATCCCAGGATTCCCCATATTTTCCCATCCCATATCTTCTGGGTTCTCGTCTTCCCCCCACTTCCCATACTTTCCCATCTTTTCCTGGGAGTCGACGATTAATTGTGTCTGTGTCTTTTTTCCTCTCCTGACTTTGGCCTTCCAGAAGCCTGAGCGCAAACGTGCGCGCGGCGGCACGGCAGGCTCGGCTCGGGGGGAACGAAAGGGGGGGGATAGCGAAGGGCAGGGCA